TTTTTGAAATATTTAAAAAAATTTTTATCACAAGTTAAAACATTTATAAAAAAGTAATTCTTGCAGTTTTTAAAGAAATGTTTTTCTTTGGTAGAACATAGCTGATGTTCCTGATAGGTTATTTGATTCATCGTCTTATTCTCGCTGTTATACGAACTCAAACATTAACTGTCCATGACTCTGTTTCCATTGTTAAAGTGTTGTATTTGGCCTTTCTATAGTCATGTCTTCCATACATAATCAGCATTCTGATACTTTTAACCGCACTTTTTGCTGCTTCAAAAAGCATTGATCAGTTATCACTGCAATCATTCTTTTTAAAACTGTTCTTTGTAGATCTGTTCAGATTTAGTAGGTATTAGCTTCTCTTCGCAGAGAATTTCGAGAAGAGTTTGTTGGAGCTGTATTCATCCCCGTTTGATCATTTGTAATTGGCATTGTTGGTATAGTTCTATTTATGCAGGGTTTTAAAGTGATTTTTGCTGATACCCAGACTTGACTCCATCACATATAGTAAGTAAGATAGTCTACTGATAAGATTGCTATAAGTTAATATAGATGCATTCTTTAATTTTTTTTATTTAAACATATATTTTTTAGTTACCTTCAACTTTTAAAATTTTAATATGAAGAGTTATACTATTATTTTGTTGTCATAAAAACCTAATAATACCTATTCCTATGGTCTTCCTTGTAAAGACATTTACACGGCGCTTGCAACAATGTTGTGTTAACGCACTTTGAAGCACCCAGTCCAAAAATACACCTTAATTACACACTCTCGGCACTCATAGAACAAAACGTTTTGCAGTAAGCTTCATGCTTCATCTCCTTGCAACAAAGTGCCTATAAAGCACGTATTCCTTTGTTTCTAAACCACCGGCCTCTTGCAATGGGCCGCGCTGCGAAAATGACAGCGAACGACTGCAACTGCAACAAAAAATGTTGCAATTACAGCGCTTTTCCATAAATAAAAGCCAAGCCTTTGCTTGCCAAACTGAAGCATTCCAGATTCCGACTCATATGAATACTTTTTGAATTTTTCCCCGTAGGTATGTGCTTAGCTCCTGCTTTGAATAGCTGCTAAGTTGCTACCAGCGCAATAACCATTCTTGACATTCTAAGGACTTTGTGTTTCTACTTGCATTGTTGCAGCGATTTTATCCTGTGTAGACTGCGGCTTTGTCTGTTGAAACTTTGAAGCTTTTGACCGGCTCCTCGCTGTCGTTTTTATTGCCGCTGTTATTTTTATTTTAATTGCTTGTGACGCGGCGGTATGTTGCTACGAGTATAAACATAAGTGAAACACTGAGAATTTATGAGTGCATACGTTTTTGTTGTAATTTTATTTTCTATAAAATATATTTAAAAATAATTTTAAATTTTAATAAACGGTTTATGGAATAGCCAGTCACTTCACTCTTAGACATTCGCTACGACAATTTAATTTCATATGACTACCTATATATCCATCCTTAATGTTATCTGCTATGAATTGTCTTTAAAATGTTCTTAAAACGATTATCCCCGATTCAGTTTAATTCTTTACTCTCCAATAAATACTTTAATAACATATAACGTCGATTTATCTTCCTGTGCCACCAACAAAGCGTAAACTCACTCGTACTTGGTGCTTATGAATTCCGCTTATGAATCGAATTTTACAAGTAATTGCACAGATACATAGCTTAAATTTCCTATGCACATTTTCTATATTAAATGCAAACTAATAACTTTAAACTGCAGTTGATGAGTCGATAATTATCTATTGGCTACAATTTCTTCCATAATCGAATTCGTATCAGTTAATACCATGAAGACTACGGAAAATCATCAACTGCAATTAATAAGACTCGCATCGTTGCTTTACATATTGTAATAAACGTGTATTAAATTTTTATATAAAAAACAAATGAAAAACTTTAAAATAAAATACTTATACCTGCAATAAGTAAGAAGAAAAGTTTTTATATGTCAGCCTCTCGAATTGAAAGGTAAAATGTCTTATAATAATTACATAGATTTGCAGATTTGCATGAGAAATAAGCTCTAAATACACAAATATTAAACCCTCTGAACTGAATTGAGTCAATGCTTACTAATCTGAAGTTATATTACTCATGACATATACCTATTAGGTTTTTTTTATCCTAATGTATACACAGAGTAAATGTCTTATGCATATATGTAATCCTTCATATTCACTATATATAAAAATGTTATATTAGAATAATATGATACATATAAATATACAGGGTGTGTGTTAGAAATTACATTAAAATACCTTAAGTCAAAAATACCTCAACACAGTAGACTCAAAACTGTCACCAAACTGTTTGACAGAACTCCATCCTTAGTTTCATTAATAAATTAAAGGGTAGTCAGATATCTAGTAAAGCCCTACTTACTTTTGGCTTGCTAATATGCTTTATTTCTTTATTTTGCCTTAACAGTGGGGTTTTAGTTTTCTTGTTTTAAGATATCAGAGATTACATTTTAACTTGCTCTTTTCTAATCTATTGTGTTAATCTATATTAATCGAAGAGATTAGTATAGATTAAATTAATTAATAGATTGTTCTTTTCTAATCTATTATTCCAATCTATATTAATCTATTGGATTAATATAGACCTCACGGGGACTTCACTATGGTTAGTCTTATCCTAATCAAACAGAGGACATTCAGCAGTTTAAATGAGTGCTAGAATGCCTTTCGTTAGAGAGTTCATAATATCATATGACATATGACATTAGCATTAGCTCAACTAGGCACTTTTTAACCCAGAACAAAGTCAGAGAACTACAAATAATATGAGTAGATGTTGTATACCCTTTCAAACAGGAACAATATTCCAACAAATCGAATAAATTTATTTAAATATTTACTTAGTCCAGATCAAAGCTGGAAAATTATAAAGAATGTGACGAGAAGCTTCACCTTCTTTTAACAAAGAATAAATATTGTGTCATATTAGACAGATTCATCTCAATATTTATGGTAATGTTATAGAGTTTAGGTTTATGTTTACTGCTACCGGCACAGTAAATGTTAATGATTTAGGTATAAGACTAAGTACAGTTCTTCAGAATGATATCTAAATTTTATAATCACTGTTTCAAACTCTAAATATGCTACAATATTCTTTAATTCTAAAGACATTTCATATTAAACATGTTGTTATTTATTACTCATGTACTTAATTTCTTCTATATAATTATTTTGTATCTAAATACTTTTTTTTTAGTATTGATCTGCTTTTTCAATTTATTTTCCAGTGGGAAAATATAGTACCATATTCATTATCGCTGAACTAATACCATTCCATTGCATTGTGGCAAAACAAATGCTTCTAAATAGATTATTTCTATTTTGTTTGCTTACCTCTACCACTATTATATTAAATTAATTTTTAAATCTTCATACGGATGCTGTAGTTTATTTTAAATTTATTAAAAAATTATTCTCATGAATCCGCCCTGACTGACCACCAAAGAACAATTTTATGCAAAATCTCGTGGCAACACCTCATACGAAATTGCGCATATCCGCAATAAAACTTGCATCTAGAATGCTTGATTTTTGTATTTTATTTACCAATTCAATATGCATTTATGATATACTATTTATTCTTTCATTATTATTTATACTTTCAGACAATAACCACAATAATAAGTTTGGTTGGCTTTGATTTAGCATTCCCTAACGTTCTGATCATCTTAAATTCTACAAGTGAATTTTCTACCTACCATCACTTGCAGTGGGTTGTTGGTAATTATTATGTACCATGTGGCGTAGGAACATGTAGTACGTTCGCATCTACACCATTCCATTGCTTTCTGAACCAGGTTGTAATTGCGCTTTTCCACAGTCGTTTTACAATCTTCACAGCCACGGCGATTGGTAATTTACTGGCAATTGCATTAAGTGCTCGTTCGGTATTTCGCGGTTGACTTTGCTCCTTTCGTTTGATTGCTATCACTGCTGTTTAATTTCTAAGGGTCAACCCTTCGAGCTTAAGGATACTTCGCGGATAATCCAACTTCAAGAAAGACTTTGTGCTTGCCTCCAAGCCAGCAATTGTTTACATTGCCTACGTACTCGTATTCATAATTTACTCAGATTGAAATCGAAATTAATGTGTTACTGTGTTATCGATGTCTGTACTTATTTTGCTCGTTTGTATCTGGAATCGAAATTATATATTTACACTAGATTTATACGCTCTATAATTTTCGATTGAATAAACCAATTACAAAACGCATTGCAGTTGAACCGGTTGGAAAGCAAGCAATTATGAGAGATAAATGAAATGCAGTGCACATCAACTGTTGGTTTTTAAGGGTTTCAGTTGAGGAACCCTTAAATAACTTAATATATGTTTCCTATAATAAATTTAGCTATTTAATTTAAAGTTTACACTTCAGTTATAGGGAGTAAACTTACCTAGCTGAATCCATTATACTAGCAAATTTTTTAGTGAAAATCGTTTTTTGTCTGAATTAAACAAATCGGATTATTGATATATATTATATATAGGTGGTTTACTAAGCGGTTGAATTAGGGCTCCAAGCATCATATATTAGTCAATAGTAAAACTGAAACTTTGAAGTCATTTTAATATTTCAACTGTCAAAATCGTTTTTTGTCTGAATTAAACAAATCGGAGTATTGATATATATTACATATAGAAGGTTTACTAAGCGGTTGAATTAGTGCTATTGGTCAATAGTAAAACTGAAACTTCGAAGTCATTTCAATATTTAACTGTCATGAGAATATAATCAAGGTTTAAACTGTCAGAAATCATCGATCTATCAATTTTTTTGGTTTATAAGTCATTTGAAGTTGACGTCTCGGTGTATTTTTGGAAATAGAAGCGATTAAACATATTGTAGTGGTTTAATTCTTTTGTAGGTTATATAAAGCCTACTTAAATTGCTCTTTTAACTAATATATATCTCGGTTGCTATATCCAGTAAAAAGTCATGTTTCTATGATTTCAAAAACTTTATTAAATATATATTCTTTGGCAATTAAAAGGTGGTATAGACTCATATAGAAAGATAACAAAGTCATGAAACATTTGGAAATTGCATGAATCGAAAAAGAATTTTGAATTTAGTTTGTTCTTATGTAGGAGACATTTATTTCTCCGGGCAAGCCATTTGAAACAGGAATTGAATTATAGTGCGAGTGGGGCGTCCGGTCATTCTATTTTTGAGCAGATATGGCAAAGTTCCATGCTGCGTAAGCAGTCCAACACCTCGTGTGTCCAGGTGGGCCCAGTCAACGCATGGCACAAGTTCCTAATAAGCATAAAAAATTTTTTTTATAGAGTATATACTATTTAGTGAATAAATCTTACATGTAATACAGCTGCTGCTAGGCAACCAGAAGCTGGACCTTTTCCATTATTAGTAATATCAACGCTATTACTCTCTGCAAAAATATTTTTAATAAATCAATATCAGTACAATATACAATATTATAGTTACTTGTCACAAGCTTTTTATAATATTTCCACAGTGGAAATCGCCACATCCTGTCACCTGAAAGCGAACCGGCCTTCTCGAATTGTTTCCATATATAATTAGAGTTAGAAAATACTGCAGTTGCTCCACCACCCAAACCTTTTACTACACCAGTACTTAAAGTTGCAACATCCACTACAAGGCGGGGTTTATAAGCAACTTGAGCATATATGAGTGGATCGGCCATCACAACAACACCGGCCTTATCAATATCCTGTTTAGGAGAAGCAAATTTTTGGTGTATTTTTAAAGTAAATTTCAAATGATTTATTTTTATATTCAGAATACATACACGAATACCCATTGTTTTTTTATTTAACAAAGTTATAACGTCACCGGGTTTTACTGCCATGCCTGAGGGCATATTCTCACACACTGGTAAAATACCGGTAACATTAATTGGCAATGACAGAGCTGCTGCTGCGCGTATTGCAGCTATGACTGTTGCAGCACCAGCCATAGAACCACGATATTGATCCATGCGCAAAGCTTTGCGCAAAGAGAGACCACCACTAATATTTATATTATATGTTGTGTTATAAGAACTTGTAAGGTACATTATGGTATTACCTATTAAATGTTATGCCCTTGCCTAGCAGCAGTATGGGTTTATCCTCCGGTGATGTTCCACAGTAAGAAACTTCAAGTAACACTGGTGGTTCACACGAACCTTTTGCAATTGCTAAAAACGAATTTAAGTTCACTTGTTCAATCCATTCCATTGTACGAATTTCAACAGAGACTCCGCAAGGACACAATGCATCTACTGCAGCTTGTGCTAAAGCAGTGGGTGTCATTTGATTTGCTGGAGTATCGGTTAAACGTCGCGCTAAATTTTGTGCTTCCGCCTTAAATAAACCACGAGTCCAAGCATCAACATCTGGAGAATCATATAATTCTAGCTTTGGAAGAGGTATGCGATGTTTTGGACGTTTAAAATCGGAATATCGATACATAGCTAAGGCAGCACCTTCTGCTGCTTGTTCGGGATAATCTAGGGAGTCCATAAATATTTCAGAACAACCCTGATATTGTAAACTACGTGCACCTATACCAGCAGCTACACGAGCATTTTCCTACAAAATTACGTTTACAAATTATTATAATATTTTAATAAATAAAAACTTTATTAATCTAATTATATTTACTTATGGATTGCAAAATTATTTTCTAACTCACCATTCCTTCATCAATCACTTCCATTTCATTGTATCCAACACCATCGTTACCGGCGCCAACTACAGCTACAGATCGATATTCAGGGTCTAAATTATTAAAAACTTTTCCTTTGCCTAATGCACCTGTTATACTCCATCTGTGTTTAATATATATATGTTATATTGGAATACTTGCTTCAATTTATATTCTCTCAACTTACTCTCGTATCAATTCCGTGAGTTTGCCCTGTACGCGATCATCAAATTTTTCGCCACTCGTTGTTAATTTAGGGACTTTGTCGTCATCTTTAATGTACACACCAATGACAAGTCCTTTCTAGAGAAATTTGATAATTTAAATAAAAATATGTATGATGATTAAAATTTTATATTAAGATCCACTTGCCGTTATTCGCCTGTCATCATGAGAAATATTTCTCCGTGTAAACTGTGTATTAAAATTAGAAGATGAGCACAGTACAGGTGTGAAATATTTTTGAAAATGATATTGCCTAATTGATTGCATTCTATAAAATATACAAATGCGATTATTTCACTGGATTCCAAATTGAAAATATGGATTTAATAAGTCCGATCTACAAATTATTTAAAAGCATAAATTCGAATAAATTTATTTATTTTTTTTTTGAAATGTCATAGAAAATATTTAATTTTAAAAATTCAATGAATAATTTTTAAATATTTTGTATATAAAACTAAATTTAGTCATATACCAGATGGTTTAAATCCAAACTCACCGTCACTCTTAGGGTAAGGATTTAACGCAGTGCAATGGGGTTACCATATCTTCGTAAATAATTCAAAGATAAAATGTAACATGGATGAAGCAATCTATATCAGATTGTTACTTAATCGCGGAAACGAATCTATGTTGTCAATAGATTGTGATTTTCTTAAACAATAGAGCTGTCATCCTAACTCTATCCATCCACAGTACAAAATCAGAGCTAGCGAAGTAGTGCAAAATTAACTTGAAATCTGTGAGTGACCAATCTCATTGATTTGGATTGATTTGTAAGCCAAAAAATACAAGGGAATAAGATAACGCATAAATTACGCAGAAACATACTCTGCAAAAAAAACAAATACTGATCTCAATAAAAGTTGTCCAAGTAATTTTTAAAATTAGCAAAACATTCTGAAAGTCCACTTACATTGCTAGACTACAATTTACTAAGAAGAAGGATCCTCTTGAGTATGACTAGGATCATAATAGTGACCTGATGATCTAGGTGGTAAGTCATTGTTCAATAGACACCTATTTCAAGAAAAAAAGATATTTTCTCTAGCAGGAGCTGCAAAAGCTGCAGAAAGAAAACAGCACATCTCTTCCGGCGACGATGCTGACAGGTCATTGCATATAAGGAAGGTATACATAAGCCTTGTCCTACATTCTAACTTTTGTTGGAGTTATGATTTAGCGATTGAGCAGGAAACTGTACGCCGACTCATGTGTCAGCATCATTGATTAATTTGGAAAAATTTCAAAATCTTTCTGGGTTCTTTTCTAACTGTCCCAATAGTTAGGTTGGTTTCCTTCTACTTGAATGTGGGCATAATTCCTTCTTAAATCCACGCCGTTAGTATCCTAGCTCTGCAGGTCTGTCGTACGAATAGTGTCTGATTCGTTGTATCACAGCGGGCTATTATTTGTGCTTAAGTTAGCTTTGGTGCGCAAGGCTATTGGTCTAACTTTTTTTATCTACCCCGTATGAGCAGTAAATAAGTGTAAAACTTTAAAGTACTGACAGCTAGAGATAATGCAGAAAGATATGCAGTTGGATCGAAATGTAGTTCATAATAGAATGTATAATTATTTGCACATAAAGTATACTCAATGGATTGAAACTATTATCCTACGAATACCATACGTGTTAACTGAATAGTATAAACTGAATAATAGTATGAATAGCTTCCAATCAATTTAAAGCATTTTTGAGAAAATAATTGCCTACTTTTAGGATGCAAAATAATGTGTGATAATGATTTCAAAAAATATTTATAAAAATATGTTTGTAAAATTACCACAAATATATATAGTTTATAGATATTTTTCGAGTTTTTAAGGAATACTAGCAAATAACAGTTAGGGATTATTTAAAAAAATCAATGATAACTTTTTTCTTATGTAAAAGCTTATTTGTCAACAATAAATTGTTAACATTACGTTATGAGGTGCTATTACATACACACTATTCAGCAAAATTATCTCTATCCGATAATTATTTTTTTCTTAATTCAAAGATTTAAACTGCGTTCAAAGTCTCTTGGTACATTCGCACAAATGACTTGCTAAGAGATATTAGAATAGACCCGGTCAAAAAATACAAAAGGGACAGAGCCCTGAAGCTATTCATGAAAACCGATATTCTGCCCTACTTAGCACTATCTAATCTCAGAATAATCTCTAGTCGCGTTGGGGCGGTACGAAGATCTAAGATCAGTCATCGAATTATCACAAAGCTTTTGAGGAATACATAAATTAGTCAGTAAGAATGGTGGGACATAAAAAATGTAATAAAATGTGTACAAAAATAATTAAAGATAAATCAATACGATCAGACTAAAGTCTATTTAAAAACTTCTATAATTATACCTTGCAGTAATAAAGACAATTATTTTCGTTATTATCTATAATTTACAATTTTTTTTGATAAGTAATACATTTTCAGTCCATCTAAGATAAATATATCTTACTTATTGGATTAAAATGCAATAAGCGAAAATTTCATGAGTTCATTTATTTCTAATTTGATTGTCAAATGTTCTGGTAACATATTTACAAAATAATCTTTTTTTCAAACAATTTATTTTTCATGGTATTAAAAAGTGATTAGCACATACGAAAGTATTTATTGATTGAAAATTCTATGCTAATTAAAAGCAACAAATAATAGTGTTTTATGTGGAAATCAATAAATGCCAATTGAAATGGTTACAATGCAAATAGTTGAAAAACCTGAAGAAAAATGCAAGGCACTATGAAATTTTTGACCTAAAGAACAACATCGCCATGCGTTATGATATGACAGTTGAGTGCATCACCCACAATTTCTACTACTGGAACCTCCAAGCAGAAGTTGCAGCTAAAACCATCACTGAACCATTTCAACATAGCAATACTTGTAGCCCCAATGCTGTTAGTCAAATACTTTTCTGAGCTTTTTGCAAATTTTTGCATTACCGGGTCGCGTTCTTGCCATTTAAATCAGCTTAAGGCTTCATTTAAGTCAAGTATTGTCGGTAAAATGTTTTTAATTTTTTTAAAATATATTTAGAATGCGTTTTACTTATAGCAGGGAGTGTAATTTAAATTTTTGAGAAAGTTTTTGTTTTGAATTACTTGAATGCATATTTGGTGCAATTAGGTGACTTTATGACAGTAGCTGTTAAGCTTAAGCTAATGCAATAATAAAATAATTTCCATTTTTCATAGAAATCGACACACAGATTACTTATCTATTTTAAATATATGTATGATTACTATAGTTAAAGCTCTGTTAAATGAACGCTGCCTTGAACGGACATACCCATTAACTTTGCCATATTGCTAGTCCTTAGTTATTATTTTTAATACGAATTATGTTACGTTCATTAAAATGGATTTAAGGTCCGTCATCAACTAAAAGACATTTAAATGATATGATTTCTTAGCCTAGTTAAAGCCTAGTGTAGGGTAGAGATAAGCCCCCCAGCCATTATAAAGTAAAAGTGCGTAATAGCACTAACTCAAGAAAAAGAATCAAGACACGACAGTTTTCTTGATAGGAAAAAATTACTGGTCCGACTTCAACTAGTTAGGTTTCACTGGTTAGTTATATATTATGGAGTTTATATTAAAATATGAATATATAGTACGGTCGGATATCATCCCTTGATCTTTGTAATGGGATTTTTTTTTCTAAATATAAAAAGTTTTTTAAAGACTACTGCTGTACCTGAAAAGATCCTCACGTCACTGTAATTTCTGTATTCCATGAGAAATGTTTTAAATCTATTTTATACCTATTCTTTAAAGCAAAGTTCCGATTCGGAAAATGTTCAATATTTTTCTCAAATATTTCATATTTATTTATATTATTATTTTGATCTCGCAAAAGTTATTTGACTCTGTGAGCAGTCACAGATATTTTATATTAAGACTCCTAGATAAAGGGTTTTCAGTTTAGTGTGTGCCAGTAAATCATGTTTAAGTAAACTATGTTTTATAATTTTATATAAAAAAAATTATGTCAAAGAGCTTTGAATTTCATTTCAAATGAAAAAATGTAGAAACTTCAAACACATATACTTTTTTAACTAGTTGCAATATAGGTTTTTTCCAAATTCGTAGTTAATTAGAATTGTCCTTTTCGTCATGTACTATGCAATTTAAATAACAAATAAAATTTATCGTGAATACAAACCTAATAAAGCAACAATTCTTCATAATTTGCAAAACTTAATCATTTTATCGCAACCTAAAAAAGTGCTTAAATAAAAATCTGCGAGGTCGTCTAATTATTTTTTTTTTTATTGATTAAAGGTTTTCTTAAGAAACTGCGAGTTAAAGATAATTGTTTTTGATAATAGAAATAAAAAATTGCAAAATGAATCGCTTACGTACACAAAAGTTCAAACCAAATCCTGATGTCAACATAAGCGACACCGCTTGTAACAGCTCCTCAAGCAACAGTCTCCTAACCAAACTCACAAAACGCTACTCGACAATCAGCAATAAGATTACGCGAAGGTCTCACTCTGGTCGCAAAAGTCAGTCGCCACAAAAGATGATATCGGGTAGTTACGACATGACCGGTACACATTCTGATGATCATCGCTTGGAAATCGGTGCCCCTGTATTGATATCCACAACAACACTAGACACAGATCGCTTGGATGTTACAGAGGCGCGACTACGACAGATTAATGGCGGCATTGCTGCCACTAGCACAATGATACGTTGCAAACCTGCGCAATCATCGCCACCAATACCATCATCCGGTAGTGAGAATGAAATGTATTTAGATGCTTTAAGTACACCGCCGCGTAATAATTCCCTTCCATGCGATGAGGAAGATGATAAATTTGTTTTGGCACCAACAACACCGAAGCAGGCAAGCCCGGAACGTGAAATAAAACCATTAAATACACCTGTAGTAGAAAATAAAACTATTGAAATCGTTGACACAGCTCCTGTCGAGTCAAAGCCTAACTATATCGAAACGAATTGTTCTATACGCTCCGAGCCTAAACTTAATAGAAGGCAGCATTCAAAATCTGTGCAGAATTTACATAGATCGGAAATTAAGGTGTATTTACAAAAGTCACCATCCATTGAATTGAATAGAAGCTTAACAACTGCAGATTTAGATCACTGCCGTGATTTACCCAAAATACCAGAACTTTATGGTGCCAGTAAGTGCAGTTTAGCGCCCACCGAGAATGAAGACAAAGATTATAATAAAGAAAACTCCGCTCCTTCACGTATGATTAATTTGCATAATTCAAATGTATCTAATGATTCACTGTGCCCGGAAAAAAAAGTAGGTGGATTTCTGGCACAACAATTGCAATTCAAAAGTGTTGACTCTTTGGATATCAATCGGAATGGTAAACGGCAAAGTGTGATATTTGCTAGTAGTATTTCGATCAATGATCGTGGTTCAAAAAATAGTGTCATGAGCCAGGAAAGTGCCTTAGAAGATTTCGATCTCAAATCTGTAAGTTGTCAGAGCTTAAATGCACAAAGTTTATTTGTGTCCATTGATGAATTGAACGAAATTACGCGTCAACTCAATGAATGGGAAGACTTTAACCAAGAAATTGATTTGGAATATTGTCAACATCGCGATAATCTCAAGCCAAGTGAGAGACGAATTACATTACTGAAAAATAAAAATACACGTTTGATTAACTTCAATAACAACAAGGAGAAGATAAAGAAGGGATGGAATGGTGTAAAACATTGGCTTGAAGAAGAGAGTACTAAAATTAAAGAAGCAATGAACAGGCAAACACCCATGCATAGAGCGGGGGCTTCTCGTTTAAATCTTAATAGTTCAGACCCACAGTCCACACCTTCTGTTATTGGCAGTGTGGCATTAGAAAATAGAAGTGATAGACGTAGTATGTCACGGGAAAAAACATTAGCCGATAGTGATACTATCATGACATCAACATGTACGCTGTCAAAACCCGAAACACACTGTAGCCCTGTACATGAGCTGCGTCTAAGTTGTGATAATATGACTGAGGATGAAATGGACGAATTAGAATCGTCATATACACATAGACCAGGTGATGACTCATCACCAGAAAGTAAGCGCATCAAACGGGAGGTGAGAATAACACAAATTTCTAGTAAATTATTGAACTTAGAGTTTTTAAATAATAATTATAAAATTTTTTAAACACTGGAGAAAATGCGCTTAGATATATACTTAAACATAAACATATTTGTATATTAAAAATGAGTTTTTACTAATAATTGCTTTAAATTTTCAGGGCCAAAATGGATTCGAAGAATTACGACGCTACATTAAACAAGGAGGTGACTTCGGCAAGGAACTTATACTCATCCTACAAGAAAGGTAAGAGAAAATATATCATTTCGTTTGAAAAGACTGCTATATGCTTTTACTTTTTTCTTTAAACACTATTAGAGTCGAAGCTGAAACTTTATATTCTAAATCTCTATCAAAAATGGCTAACAAATTGAACAAGGCTTGCCGCGAACTTCCTGGCAGTATTGCTGATGCTTGGCGTGGTGTTGCTACAGAAATGGAAAGTCGCAGCGATATACATCGTCAGTTATCAACTTCACTTACAGATGAAATAGTTAAACCACTGAAAACAATAGTCGATACTCATCATAAAGCAAGAAAATCTGTAAGTAAACAAATACTTTTAAATTACTTTGTTCTATAATATTCTGAAATCTTCCTTCTTTATTAGGTGGAGACCAATGTCGATAAGGCAGCGCGAGTATTAGCCGAATGGCGTGTCAGTGAAGCTAAGAGCAAAAAATCTTCACATGCTGCTGCTAGAGAAAATGAAAAACTACAGGACGCTATGTTGGATGTCCGAATACAAAAATCTCCATCCATTGCCATACTCCATCAAGGTGCGAACAAAGTAGCAGCGGAGAAAGAAATCAAATCAGCTGAAAAGGATTGCGCCAAATTGGATAACAAACGCAAAAAAGCTGAGGAAGCTGTTAAACGTGCCGATGTCGAATATTACACACTATGCGTACGTGCTGAGCGTGCACGTGTTGACTGGGAAATGTCTGTTCTGCGAGGTGCTTCGCTGCTACAAAATGTTGAAAATCAGCGACTTGTGAATATGAAAAACTTTGTCTCAAATTATACTCGTCTAACATCGATGATGAATCCAATAATAGATAGCGTAGTGCAGCGTCTACAGCCACAAGTTGATGCCTGTAATGTATTGAAGGACATGCAAGTTGTTAAGAATATAAGACGTAATTCAGAGGGTCCAAGTGAACAGTTGTTACCCGACTTTTATTGCGAACACACAACTTTGGCAATGAATCGTGAGAGGCGAAAACATGCTCTAATCAAATTACTGCAATTAGTAAAAGCTGATTTGGAACGCGAACGACGTTCACGTAATGGATTGAAGGGTCTCTCGCAATCATTGAATAACCAAGAGAATCAAAATATTACCGATAAATTGTATCATGTTAGTATTACAATTAAAATTGTTGTTTAAAAGATATTAATTAATATATATTGCATTTGTTTTAGATTCGTTCAATGCTAACATATTTGGAGGGCTCCCGTTTTAAACTACATTCAGCTTTGCTAGAACTGGATCATAAGCCACGTACAACGCATCCTCTTGCGCAACATATACAAGTAAGTCAAGAATTTTATTTAGAATTATAAAATAAAAAATTTGGTTGAATGTTATTGAATACTGCAGAGAGGTTAAAATAGAGGATATGCGCTTGCAACTAGTCTTATGCTTATATATTACTCATTACTACTACTCAAGTAAAAATATAATACTTACTTATATTTATTTCTGTGTTTCACGTATTATCTTCCAAAATGCTCTAAATCTAAATCATGTAATTTGTTAAAAATATATTATTTTACAAGCAAAGCTATAAGAATCGAAGATATACAAACACTTATTAAATAGAAAAATATATTTCTAGATGAAATATATATATTTCTAGATTTCTTTTCTAGATGAAATTAATCCTAAGCAGTAAATCTACTTAAGGGATATCTTATTTATTAAAAGTTTGAAATAGTTTAAAACACTCTGAGCTTTACTTTACAACACACTTGGCATCAGATCTAAATCGTTGAATCATGTTAACTAGAGAATTATTTTAAAAGACTGGAGTCGGGTCACTATTTGAATACTTTTTTTATTCCAAAAGATTTCTGCTGATTTCAAAAATCTGTTATAAATACTGAAGATATTAATATATACAGTATATTCGATTGTATGGATATCTAAGTTTCTTCCTATATATAGAAGAAGAATATCTATATGTTTAAATAAGTTTTATATACCTGATTGCATTTTAGATATTAATAAAATATACAACTTGCAATATGTGTTTTATAATATTTAATTTGAAGATTGTATATATGATATAGTATAACTAAAGTTTACGTAATATTGTTTATGAAATATATATAATAATCACAACATATATTTGTGATGTTATTGATATGATGTATGTCATCATTGAAGTACTAACCACTTCTTTGATTTTCATTGAAAACTAGATTCAAGAAACTTATAATGAACAACATTATAATGAAGCGAATGGTGTTATGCAAAAGATCAGAGTTATAAGTGGATTGTGCTCTAAAGAACTAATGAAATGGCTTATAGCAAAACCCTATGCAACAGGTGTAACGAGTTTATGTAAAAAACTTAAACCAAGTGCAGTTGTTGGTAATAGTGAAGTATAAATGATCTTGTTATCGAAAATTATATTCAAAAAACACAAACGTCAACAAATGAAAACTTAAAAGAAGGAGGAGGTAATTTATTTAAATAAAGCAAGATTCTGTTTAATGACTGGTAAAAACACAGAACAACAACATATAGAACTATACATGACACTAAGCAATATTAATTAGAAATGTATAAATCGTGTAAAAACATTGAAAGCTGTTTTGATACTTTGATAAAAAATTTTTTATGTTGTAGAGTGGAATTTGGGACGCAGTGGTTCAATTTGCGCTCGATCTAGTCCGTTATAAGCATATATAACAACTCTAAAACAGTAATACCTAATGGGAAATGAGTTTTGCACTTTTTTATTGTAATATCATTTGCATTCGACCATTTACAATCCTCTGCTCTGATACATCAAATAAAGATATGCATATAAAATATTATTTTCAATAAACATAGTCAAGCAAAGCCATTGAAATGATATGCTCACATAGCTAGTTGCATATCTTAGCGTATCACGCAAATAGCAATGCTCACCAATAGCCACTAAGAAATTGCACAAACAATGTACTATTTGGTTTTCTCTTCATTTTGATTGTGCAGAATTTGGATATGAAGATTTTACAGTGTCGTTGTTTTGCTTTACTGATAGATTTTCATACCATCCGCTACTCTACAGAATCATCTCAGTATTGATCAGGCGTACTTTTTCTTTAAATTAAAAATTAAGAGTTAGGCTCATGTAAAAAAAATCTAATTATGGTATATTCTGCTTTCACCATAATCAATTCTATACAAATTATTGACTATAGATTTTTTCATTGAAACATTCACATCAAGAAACTGATAAATATCTTTTTTTATTTTATTTTTCAGATAACACGTGATCGTACAGGACTACAACAGAGTATACTGAAAGTACCACTTTGGTTGAAGAACAATGACAAACTGAATAATTCGAATGTTGATGATTCATTGCGCGACAATGAATATGATTGCATCTCACAAGCGAATACATCCTCAAATGTTAGCTGCACTGATTTAAATAAGGATATGCTGTTAAAGAAATTTAGTCGTAGTAAGAGCAACATTGAAACGTTTAGCATTAACACACAGATTTGTCTACAAAATCCATTAGAAAAATCGAAAACACTACAAACAAATATCGACGATCCATACAGTGATCGTGGACAAGCGGACGGTGGCTCCAATCAACAGGATTCAGATTTTGATGAGTTCAGTTCACAAGATGAAGATGATGAAATGACCAATTCAGGTGGTCGCAAAGAACATAAAGTGATAATTGAGAAAAGTACGATGCTTGCAAATGGCATAAGTAATGGTGGCATCACCAGCATTGACCATCACTATCAGAATTCTGCAGAAATAAGCGCGGAGTGCACACAGATTGCTGCCAATAATAATATCAATATGAATGCAAATGAAATCTCTAGTTCTACAGTAGTAGTTTTAAGTAGATGTAAGGCTTTATACAGCTATACACCAAAATTATATGACGAACTGGAACTAAATCCTGGCGATATTATAGAAGTCCACGCCAAACAAGAGGATGGTTGGTGGTTGGGCGCATTGCGTAATCAAATTGGTATTTTCCCCGCTACTTACGTGGAGGAGTTCGCTTGAATAAATTAAATCGGTCAGTGTTGGCTAATGACAACATTGCTTACAGTGGAACAAATTTATTATTTTCAATGTAAAATTAAGTGCAGTGGGTTTTCATTTAATCTCATATATATTTAGTGAGGCAAACTGATATTTAAAATTTTATTTAATATATTTTATTGCTAAAGCTAGTTTGTCCGCATTAACGAAAATTGTCTTCCCAACAACTGCCAAAAGAATTGCTTTAACATTACTTGTTACTTGTTACAGCAAAACAAAATATTTTAAATATTAATTTTAGATATTTTTGAATTAAAATTCAAATAAATTCCCTGAATTGCCCAATAAGTACAACATATTTTGATTATTATGTGTACTTAGAACTCTGCACTTGTGCTGTACTTTTGGGTTCTCATACGACCGTCTCGATATGTGGGCGTAAAAGTACAGGATATCAGTGCAATGTTCATTTTCGCAATATTCTACAAGTCTAAGTGTGCAACGCACCAGTAATTATAAAAATGAATAATGAAAATATCTAAACTAATTTATATTTATGTAGTCTAAGCAATATAATATAAACCTCATGTCCCACATATAAGCGATTTCAGTTTGTAGCATATTTTAAGCATTGAGTAGTTATAGAAAACGATTTAATTGATAATTAATATTCACTAAATCCTGTAAAATGCAATTATATATATGTTTAATTGTTGATTTTATACAAAAAATATTTACGATATAAAATAAAATAGTATATTTTAATATAAAAATATGACCCATTTTATTTTTATAAAATTAAGTGAGAAGGAAAGTATCAGCCCTTACATAGAATCGGAATGATAGGTTCGTTTAATATTTGTTTAGATGTTTTTTTTTATAAAAGAGAAATAAAAAATTATATCTTATATGTAAAACTAAAATGATTAAAACAATTTCCAATATACATTATTATATATATTTATATATATTTATTTTAATTTTTTTATTAACAATATTTATAGTATTTATTTTAAAAAATATAACTACAACTGGAATACTTAGACCATATAAAACATGAGCAACTCAAATGCATTTTTGTATAAATTAAACAAAATAATAAAATGAAAATAAATATAAAAAATAAAACACATTTCCAAGTCAAGTGTTTGCAGTTAAGGAATATTATGTGCTTAAAATTACAACAACAATACATATATCATAATAATGAAGTAATTAAATGATGTTTACTTCTCAATTAACATTTTAAATTAACATTTTTACTAATTTAGTAAGGCCAAACTATCTAAAACTCATTTGAGCTCTCCAAACTACGTAGCTTCTGGTACATATTGATATAATGCACCTGTAACTGCTTCTGATAATTGAGCACCTTTTCACGTTCTACACACCATTGGCGTTTTTCCAACTCAAAATTTTCACGCACATCATCCAATTGCTTACGTAGTTTCGCAATTTCTTCAGCATAATTGGCAGACTCTTCAATTAAAGTATCCAGTGTGGACTCTTCTAGTTTTTGCGTGTTGAATTTTGTAGTTTGCACATTGACAGCTACATCGGGTAAGTTTTGTGAACCATACACAAATTTCTGTATGTCAGCCGACATTTTCGCTAAGCGTTTCTCAGTGTTATTTTCATCGCTATTATCGCTATGATCAATATCCAATGGTGGCGCGATTTTCAAGCAGTTCAATATCACCTCTAAGTTCGTATCATCGATTACTTTCTCCTTTGAACCTCTGTTGACCTCTGATCTGAGCGTGTGTTTACGTGTCTTATTGCAAATGTCTGATAAATTATCCAATTGCTGCTTCAACCGTATGTACTTGCCAGAAGGTTCCTCACCATATTCATGAGATATAACTAAATCCGACAGTTCTTTGCGTAATTTGGCCAACTCATTCGTAAGTGCCAATATGACTTGATCCTTTAGTATTATAATTTTATTCAGTTGCTTTAGCTCAGTTTCCGTTTCCTTTTCGGACTGTGCTTTCAGTTCTTCCACTTGTTTCTGCTGTTGTGTAATCTTTTGATTCTCTTGAAGACTTTGGTAGATTTGTGTTTCAGCATTTGTGTTCTCATGCTTGAGATGTACGATGGCATGTTCTTTCATTGTGATTTCAACCTACAATAAAAATTTGTTATCAGATACACTGTAGAATTTATGGAAAAAATATATATATTTATTGTCATAAATTGTCTAGTCGATATAGTGATCCACAACAAGGATCAATGCCATCGTATGCTTGATAGAGTGTGATAGCTTAAGAATTGAGAAAATAAACCATTTAAACGGCTCTTTATGTTTTTGTTTATATCATTGACTTGTATTAAATACTACTCTCTCTCTCTCTCTCTGTCTCTTCTGAAATCAGTCTTCATTACTACTGACAGATATGCAATCGGAAAATATTAAATAAAAAAACGCCATGCTATCAGTGGATTCAGATACCAAGTTAAGACAGAGTTGAGTAAATATGCTTCGGTTAACAACTCGATATACACGTTAACAACACATTATATATAATTTCAGAAATCTTTTCGATATTTAAAGACTAAAAAACATCGATGTATCGTTTGAACAGTATTTATTTCTCCATTGATATTGATCTTAGAAAGTAATTAGTTATAAATAGGTCCCATGTTAAATTAACTTGCGAATAAAATTTTCTTTTAATAGAACATATGCCTCATTATGCAAAGAATCCAACTTAATGAAAAATACAGATCTAATAAAATTAGATGAAGGTTCGTTTATTCTGCTATAGTTGAATAGTAACTGAAAGAAAGGAACATTATTACACAAGCGTAATTCAAATGAGAATTCAGACAGCGGCAAGCGAAGAGACATTAGACTACTCCGACTGCAGCACACGTGGATCTATTGTGCTCCTTGTAAAGATTATTGAGCTGACACTTTATTTTGTCAAGAAGATGGACTAGACACTCGAATTAAATTCATTTGCAGTCCGTTTCTTTTAGTTCTCTCTTTCTAATAAGCTATTGTTAATTCCAGGGTAAAGCTGGACATTTAGAACTAGCTATAATATATTGTCTATTTGTCTTCTGTTCTTGATAACAAGTATATAGGAAATTTGTAAATACTTACATTAGCCTCTTTCAGTTGGGATTTCAGTAAAGCTAATTCGCCATTACGTTCACACACTTTCCATTCGCTCTCCTCCAATTGTGCACGCATATCGATGAGCATATTTTGTGACTCTCGCAGTTGCTCTTCAATGTAGGCGACCCGATCTTTCAAGTTACGTTCCGAATTTTTTAAGCTTATATTATTACTTCTATAAAAAATAAATTAAAACTTAATTACAGTCATTATTCCATACTTGAAATTACCTTAGAATTTCATTCTCATTTTTCAAATCTGCCATTTGCTCTCTCAGCTTATTGGACTGATCTGTGTGACGCAGTTTGTGTTGCTTGAACTGAAATTGTTGCATCGCCAGCATTTGTTCCATCTTTTTCATTTTCAGTAGACACTCACGCTGTTGGCCTTCATAGAAGGATTTCAGTCGCTTAGTTTCACTCTCCCAAAATGCCTCCTTGTCCTAGTTTAACATAAAAGATATATTAGTTAAATTAACTGTAGTTAATCCTAGAAAAAAATGTAAACCTTTTGTACTTTGAAAATTACTTTCTCATTATGTTCCATGGTCTGTCGCAGGTATGACAGCTCCGAGTCTCGATCTTTCAACTTGTCTTCCAGTTCAGATATGCCGGAATCAGAGGGTGAAGGTGTCATATCGCATTGCTCACTTATTATGTACTTGTTGCTATTGTTGCTGCTGTTGTTGTTCGTGGTGTTGTTGCTATTATGCATACTGCCACTCATTTTACTGTATTCAAATTAAATGAAATTGTTAAATAAATTTCATTTTATTAATAATAATTAAATTGCGCGCTATTTCATTGCTTTACTCACAACGCACTGCTTTGGCTGTTCGCATCTGAGTCCGGTGTATGTCGAATCGATTCCATGCTATCGTTGATTTTCAACGATCTGGAACCCCGTCGACGTGCCAAAAGGCTGTTGCAATAATTATTACTGCTTGAATAACCACCAACAAAACCCCCAACACTGCCTGCTCCGATTCCGCCACCAATAATGCTCGCACTACTGCTGCCGCCACCTCCACCGCCATACCGTAGGTCAGTGGTGCCTAACGAAACGAAGAAGAAGCATTTACACGTTTATTAATTGTTTAAAAACAAATACAGAAAAAACCAAAAAATGTTGAATTATTATAAAAAAAAAATTATAATTGTTGCAAATAGTGTAAAGCCTTTGTTTAATTTGCTGTAAAAAAATTAAAAATGTTAGCAATTATTGCTCAAGCGAGAGTTGCAATTAAAATGGGTCAGGGAAGTTGAAATGGATTTGATGTATTTTAAATGATTTGTTAAAATCACGACGGATAATTAATCATGTTTACATTTTGTATATTAAAAATAATGTATTTTTTTTTTTTGTGAAATATTCCTGAATATGAATCATGTTTTATAGATATAATTTAGGCATAGATGTATTATTAAATTTACCATACTAGATCAATCATTTTATCGAGATTTTTAAGACATTGATTTATAGATTACATTAGCATCTTCCAGAGGGAAAGAATCGCTTGCTTGAGAAGCACTGATATTTTACACATTTTTAGAATTAGAAATGGTGTAGAAAGCTCCACACAATTTGAGAATTAAAAAGAATTCTGTGCTTCTAATAAAGTGAAGTACTGAGACCATAACTGATTTGTTGTATTAGCAAGCAATGAACTTAAGTTCTGTACATTATGTTATTATACAGAAATTCACCCAAAAATAAATATATATATCATTAATAAAAGAGATCTATATTAGAGCAATTATAGATTTTAGTAATTCTAAAAACATACAAGCCAGATAATGTTTAATAAAGCATCTTCCGATTTGTTGGACATTATAGTATGGAACGATTACAGTGATGAAATATTTCGCAAACCCTTTATAGCCTTGAATGAGCCTTTATTATATAGCCTTTATTATTCACCTAGAAGCACAGATATATATCATTATCATTACGACTAACGTCTGGAAAACAAGTTTGAAGCTCTTTAATCTAAAGAATAGATGGAAAAGTATGTGCACCTGCTGGTCATACCTGTGAGTCGTTTTATAGAAAACTCTAATACTTTACCAAGAAAGGTAAAGGTGTGTAAATTCACTAGTTTATGAAATAGATAAAGGTTTGTATTTACAGATTATGATAGTTAGAGACATAAAACATTAAAGCGCGAATTTTATGCTCTGCAAATAATGTTCAAATTACATCTATTTGCAGTCCATTTTCATTATTAAAAAAAAAAAAAACCTATGTATTTTATAAGTTAAATTTTATTTTAGAAAAACTCATGTTCACATATCCGTAAATTGATATGAAAAAATATATAAAATAAAATACTTACTGCCAAAGCGGAGATTGGAACCTTGCGCTGGTGCTAAAGAAGGCGTCGAACCATAACGATCACCAACAACATCACAATAACGATTTGGAATACTGTAGTCGGGTTCAAATGGGATCGGTTTAAAAGCAATGGGGCGTAGCAGATTTGTGGCCTAGAGAAAAATATTGAAATAAATGTTATATTATACATTGTTCGTATGTATGGATGTATGTATGTATGTATGTAAAAAACAACAACAGCAGCAACGATAAAGAACAAATTAATGTTTTGAGTTGTGTGCAAATAAAGGCAACTTAACAATGTTGCTGAGATAATTTGCAGTTGTTGTTGCTTCGCCCATTGAGATGTTGACGTTGACACTGACACACCTCAATGCTGGCTCGCTCAAACTATAGACCATAGACAAGTGCTTGTCCATACACATATACAGTGTACAGTGTACAGTGTATGGACAAACACACATCGATTAAGTCAATCGATTGAGGAGAAATGGGGTTACCCAGAGGCAAGCAAGTTAATCTGTTGTTACAAACCTGATCATTGTTTTCAGCTTCATGTTGCAAATTGGCTAAGTCACTAGCACAACGTTGCTGCTGCTGTTGCTGTTGTTGCGCCAGTTGCAGCGTTTGTTGTAAATGTTGCTGTCGCTGTGATTGTTGCTGCTGCTGCTGCTGTTGGCGAATTTTGTTGTTCACATCCAAACACTCAATTATGTTCAGGCGTTCACTCAATTCGGAAATGCTATTCCGATTTCCGCATCCGTTTCCGTTAACAACTGTAGTTGGAGTGGCTTTTCGGGTTAATTGTGTTTGCTGTTGCTGGTTTTGTAGTTGCAGTTGTTGTTGTTGTTGTTGCTGTTGCTGTTGCTGCTGCATGGCTGCACATTGTTGTTGATAAGCGGCCTGTAGTTGTGCTTGTTTTTGTAGTTGTTGGATTTGTGGGTTGTTTTGATTTTGCTGCTGTGTTGGGTGGTGCGGAATTTGTTGTTGCGTATACGCCTGAGGGCGTTGTTGCGTTTGGGTTGTTATCGCAAGTTTATTCTGTTGCTGATATGTTGCAACATTCGCCGTTGTGGCTTGTGTGGCTGTGGCTATAGTAACAGGCAATGATTGTAGCATTTCTGATGCCTCCTTGTCAGTACTACCGTTGTTACTGCTACTGCTATTGGTATTCACAGGTTCTCCATTATTTTTGGCAGCGGCAGCAGCACTTTTGCTTATTTCGAACATTTGTCTTAAGTTCTGAAATTTGGTGCGTCCGTGCTGGACGTAATCCTCCAAGTTGCTGTGACTGCCGAATTTGTTGCGCATGCGTTTCTGTTCGTTGCGTGACTTAAGTGTGCCTGTGTGACCGGCTTGCAGTGCCGCTGGCAGGCCCAATGCATTTTTCGAAACAAAAGAATTGGCATTTTCGAGTGAGGCGGACCGTATGTGTCCACGTTTGGAAAGCGTTGGCGATGGAGTGATATGCGCTGGCATTGCGATGTGCGAATTTGAATTTGAAACGGTTTTGGCTGCCATTTTTGACAACTAATTTTGTTGCACAAAACTGCAAAGAAAAACCAGAAGAAAAATTAATTAAATAAAATAGAAATAAAAATTAAAAAATAACTCATTAGTGCGTTAATTCAAAAAAGATTGATTTATGTGTGCAAATGTTTGTGTGGGGACGTGTACTCGTATCTCAAATGTGGCGGCAACAATTAGACGAAATCATTTGTTAGATTGCGTTTTTTGCTGCTGGTTAGGTTTTTAACGGTTTGCGTGGTTGGTGTTTGTGTTTCACATATAGGCCAAGTAAGTACGGTGGAGATAATCCACCAGTAACACTTTGTTGTTGCTTTGTTGGTTTATGAGTCTTAAGCGCGCGCACAATATTGCGGCTGTGATATAATCTGGCCGACAACGGTGAAGTGCGGTTGTGGCTTGCTGTTTTGTTGGGTCAATAAGTCAATTTACCGGATTGGGGGAATTGTTATTGTTTTCTGCAAAATTATTTTTATTTCTGAGGTTTTTTCGCTATTCGAATTAATGGTCAAAAACAAAAACACTTTGGCACAATTTTGATATTTTTTATTTTTTGCTAATGTACTTTTATGTCATTTTTGTATGATTTTCTGTGCTTTATTAAATATTTTATTTATCTGCAGCAACTGTAAACTCAGCTTAAAATACACTGTAAAAATAAATGCGAATGTTTACATACAAGTAAAACATCGATGGCTAAATGATATGTGATAATAGTGTTTCAATTATGAACTACTGCACGCAGTTAAGCACTACACTACAATCCCAGAAAAAATGTTTCTAATCTTACCTAGATTAAGACATTAGCAATCAATAAACCTCGGGAACCGAAAATATGCCTTATCTAACATTAACAAGCTTGGAAGAGATAACATAATAATAGAAGAAATAATTAAATTTGAAACTCTATCCTTTTATACAAGTTTTAAGTCACAGATACTTGCTGCCTTTTAGATATTTTAAAAGAGTTGGGAACTTGTCACCACGTCACTGCATCGTGGTGATACCCAGATACTTTCTTAGTAAAAGACTCGTAAAAATAAATCGATAAATATTGAAAATTTTATACTTATATGCAATAAGACTACCATTATTTGCGATTTCTGGTGTAGTGCTAATAATTTAAACTGAAGTGTGTGTAAAGCAATTAATTACTCTTACGAGATCTCTAGGTTTCAGATAGCTAACTTTTTTAGGTTTCATAAAAGGGAGACAAATATATCGAACTAATTTATTAATAGTCGCAGCGAATAAGCCAAAAAGTTTTCGTCTACTTTTACCAAAATGTTCAGGTGTTGGCAACCAAAATCTCGACTTTAAAAATTAGTAGTTAGGAAAATTACAAAACTAATAATTATTTTTAACTCAGGCCTCCAACATTTGAACATTCGGGAGTTGTATATGTTAGATTCCAAAATATTTGTAAATGTATTTCAATGTACTCTTATAGTTATAATAAAAGGCTTTACACATTCGTTGGGCTTCGAAAAAATTGTAGCCTAAGTGTACCAATTCTACTATCCCACCCATTTTCATTTCCTTTATGTATACATTATGGACACAGAGAATGATTACTCTAATAAACTGCTCTTCAATATAATCATAGACCTAGCAAAAGTTAACATCAGTGACATACAGTGGTTCTTAAACCGCACAGACTAGATCTAATAGAGCTGCCTATAAAAACAAGAAATCAAACAATGTGTAACAACAACAGTGCAATAATACTAATTGGACTTTTACAATGATTTATCACTTAGAGAAACCAAATTAATACACTATAGATGCTACATGGAAGTAAAAGTAACCAAATGTATATTTCCATTCAAAAGATAATATTGAGGTGGCCTGTAAGTGCGGCGTAAAGCGTTATACTTTTTTATATTTATGGAGTTATGAAAATAATATTATATAATATGTAATTAGTTGAATAATATTCATGAAATAAATCTACAATTTAATGACAATCCTTTTTACAATTTTGAAAATTAAAAAGTTTATGCAATAGTGTCCCTACATAATTCTATTTGGTTATGTTACCTGTTTAGTAGTTTTTTCCTAATATTTCTTTTTTGATGCTGTTACCGTGCACTTTTAATATTTCTTCGTTTCTTCGACAATTGTACTATATTTCATTGAAATCTGAAAATATATATCTAAGCATATTGCAGTGGAAAACACTAGTTAATTCCTAGTGTTTTTATTTACTGTATAAAAATATAATCTTGAAAATCGTATTTAATATTTTCTGTGTACATTTTAAGAGTTGTGTTTTTTGCAGTGTATCAAAGCCTTCTAATGACTAATAAATTTGTTGGAATTAAGTGAAATTAAATGTTAAAACTTCAATTGATCAACTTTTTAATAACGGCCAAGGTTTTGTTGCGGACAAAAATGAAACAAATTAATTTGTATATATGTAAGTAAATAAACACAAACATATATAAAATATATTATATTTGAATTGCGAATCATAAATTTATGATTAAGTTTTTATGTGGCTATGCAATAAAAGTCAGAATCATAATAAATAATTTAAATATAGTTTGCTTGGGTTATGAGGCGGATGCAAGCTAACCAAGCGCAGGTGGGCAATGCCAGTAAATTACAGGATGTGTTCGCAGTTTTTGTTTCCAATGATATGTAATTTTATTATCTAAAGTTAAACATAGTAATCATAAAAATAACTTTAAGAAAAACACAAATCTTCGGAGCAACAAAGAAGAGTCATAAAGTAAATAAGCTATGAAGAGGTATTCAGAGTTATTGAACCGTAGAACCGTAGAAATATACAAATAAGATATTAATGAATGTATTCGTTACAGCACTTTAAGGCTATTAGAAAACATAAGAAAATTTACTAAATTAACTGCTAAATGCCACGCCTTTTACTAGTGAACTTCCAAACTAAATGAACTCCTAATTCAAAGCAGTCTATGCAGAACTAAGAAATTAGATATGGTCGTTCCAGCAAGAGTTATTAATGGGCATTAATATATATCTCTTGATTTTAATTATAATTATTCGCTTAATTTTTTTATAATTTTTTTGTTTTTATTTATTTTTTTGCGGCGATCTTTAAATTTATAGTCTCACTTCGTTAACTTAAGACCAAGTCAACGTAGAACGTCTCTAAACGTTTTAATTGCTTAGATTTTGGTTGTTTATAGAGAATAATTAATGCTTGCTCTGTTCACACTGTATTAACGGCGTTCAAGACGAAGACTTATTAAGTGAAAGGAGGGCGTAGAACACAAAATATAAATAAAATATTTTTAAAATAAACATGAGTTTTTTGTTAAATTCGAAAGTAATTAAAAAGAAAAGTTATGTTCTTGGATGATAAATAGCAATTAATTTTTAATTAATTTTTCACTTTTTAGATACAAATTTAATATGCAGTTTAGTGTGGATGTGATAAAGAATTTTTAACTAGACTTTTATTCGACGTCTAGCACTTTATACAGTTAAGTTAAATAAACACAAAAGAGTTAATTTCGATTTGTCAAAGTTTTGAAATAATAAATTCTTATAAGGGATTGAGAGACTCAAGTGGAAATTGCAATACATGCCAACATTACAAAATAATAAAAAAATAATTGACAAACCTAAACCCTACAGAATGCGGACTTGAAAGCTGAAATGAAATCTTAGACAATTATATGATCTGACTATACAATTTTGAGCTTCTGTGGATTCGAAAGCTCAAATGAAGTCCCAGAAATTCAAATCAGTAGGATATAAAAGACAACAAACACCCTAATCAGTGACACGTAAATTGTGCTACGAAAATACATATATCAGTAACTTGAGAACTGATTTGAGATGACTTGATGTTTAATAGTTTCAATACATCATAATAAATAGATGCGAGAGTTAATAATACTTGTAAGAAAGATCAATATTGTAGTTGAGCTGTAGCGGAATTAAAGAAGTAAATTATAGCCATAGATAGTAAAAGGTAATGCTTTTTTCAAGTACATTTATGAGATGTATTCTTCTTTGATGAGCCACTCACCGGATTAATTGTATTTCCATTTGAAGTTATAAGTTCCGTTATAAGATTAGACAATATTAAAATGAACTACATATTTCAAAATATTTTTCTGATACCATAGCCTATAACTTTTAGTACCGTTTATTTAATTAAGTCGGACATATCTCCCACTGCTCTAATGTGCTATTATGATAAGGTTACATAAGTAATTCTTATAAAATAATGCTATTGAGTATTGTCTTTTTAAGTTATCGCGAAAAAGCTTAGTTAAGTCTATATTTACTATTTTCTACTGCATTTCCTAAAAGTGCAGTTTCTAAAATAGATCCCAAAATAGACAAATTTGTATACCTGCATATTATAGCATAAAATCAGCAAATCTTTCTAAAATGTACTTTCACCTTACTTCGATGTAGTAAATGAATTGAGTTAATATTTTTAGAAAGACAAGTCTTGATATCCAAATTAATTCACACATACTTCTCGCCACTATTATTATGAACCATTTGAAAGGCACGCCTCTGGTATTTTAATATGAAATAATGTTTATTGTTAATAAAAAAAATGTAAACAAAAACATAAAACAATATACCTAAAAAATAGCAAATTATAGTTATTTATATATATAGTATATACTTTATGCTTTATTGCTGGCAAAAAAAATATTTTACATACTAATAAAGATATAAAATAATTTTAATATGAGAAGCTAATAAATATTTATTTATTAGTAAAAAGTCTTACACAGTAGGTAAAGAACATATTACATACTCTACATATGTTACTTAAATCTCAGAAAATATTAAAATTAATTTCCAATAATATTTAATTGTTGTAGTTTATTTGAATATTTATTGTTGCACGAACGTTCCAAATTTATCTTACAACTATTTTATTATTTCTACAAATAATTTAAATTTTTTAAAATCTAATTCCCACTATCTTGTGGTAAATTCATTAATCAAGAAAAAGTTTACTTTCAAAGTCTGTAGTACAGTAATAGAGACAGTCTCAAACCAATTGCT